CATTGACTATATGTAAACTTTACAAAGAATACAAAACTGCAGAGTTTTCTGAGAATCAATTGTCAGATCAATGTCCATATACATGCATTTCTAAAAGTGGTCTGAAAAAGCCGAGGCTCTTCTTTCCAAATCTTCATCACTGGCATTCTTCTCTTTTCCAAAAATGTCCCCACTCTTACATCTTTCACTGACCATGGCTTAACAATGTCTGTGACTCCAAGAGGCAAACAGATCATTCCTTTACCAAAGGCACCATAAATATTCTTTAAAAGCTGTACTTCCAATAAAATTTTCCTTTTTGCTTAACAATTCTCTACCAAAATATCAAATCCACTGCTGTCATGGCTATTCTGACTCGGATCCCGCAGTTTCCTCCTGTTAAAATTTACAGTCTCTGAAACCTGATGCAGGTTCACCATGAGTCAGAAGTCATTTGATGGCAGGGAGTTTCTTGTTTTATTTTCTTTGGGTCAAAGTAGAACTGCCCCACAGAATTTCCAAAGTAGTGGTAGTAGTCTTTAGAGAAGTCAATTGCCAAATCTTTCTTCTGCAGAATGACTGAGATTGACTACCAGCCTTTTATTTTAGGTACCAGCACAGCGCTTAACCACAGCACTACCTGGGTCTCTCTTTTTGTTGCCATTATGTACTATGGAGTTGGAGGCAACTCATAGCTGTCCTTCCACAGTTTTTTGGAGGCTGTAAATTATATAGGAGTATAATACCCATCTTTTCTCCTTCGGAGGAGAACCACGTACCCTTTGGTTGGCAGTGTAAATTATTACCCACTAGGCTACAAGGGTTTTCCTTGGTCTTAAAAGTAATTTATATTGTTTTGAGCTACTAATAAGAATTACTATAGTATTTGTAATATATTAAAGAGCCTATAGCATTTTTATGTAAAATACCAAAATATAAATTATTTAAAATATAGTCTTTGCATCTGTTTAAATTCAATGATAAGTTTTAGAAAAAGTTACTAAAAGAGAAAAGGTTACTTAAGAGAGAAAACGAGTGAAGAGAACAGTAATATACAATAAGGGTTTGCTTAAGACATTGTAATAAGTGCATCAATTAACGGTAATTATTGCCTTTGAATGATTGGGGGAAAATTCAATGAGATTTGTCAAGTTTACATTTAACTCAAAGAAAACATTAAAATTTGTTTTTAGGTGTCAACTTGAAATACAAAGAATAACCAATATTTTCATTTTAGAAAGCTTTTTTGCAGCAATGTGGAGACTAAACCGGAGGCGAGAAATTAGGATGTCACTTGAACATGTAATAATTTAGACAAAGCAGATCTAAGAGAGTAAAGAGGTAGAATCAGTGGTAACAAGAGAAGACAGGGCAGATTCAAGACATTAAAGATATTTTTAAATGTATATAATGAAAATTGTATGACAATTTTCTGGCTAGGAAGACTGATTTAAAATAACTTAGTTCAATCTCTAGGTCAATATGACATATTCTCTCCAAGGGGAAAGATGAATTCAATTCTGAGCATCTGAGTTTGAGATGCGTGTGGAACCAAACATCTGTGTGAAGATATCCATAAACCAATTACAGGAATAAGTTAAACACACAGAAAATGGAAGGCTGTAGGCAGAAGTAGGAGAAGCTCTAGCTATGATTCTGATCATCGAATAACACAGGCGGCACAGAGTGGAGATTCTATGGATGATTTTGGATAGAGCAAGATTTTTATTGTTTATAGGATTGCCATCCTCTGGAGTATCACATAACAACAACAAAGAGCCAAAGATGTTAATATTAACATTGGAGGAAAAAAGGATTCTTCAAGTTTTAGTGTCTAACAGTAAGCAGGAGCTCATGGGTAGTTCAAATAATTATTGTCTTCAGCTGCTAATAAGGTTGGAGGTTTGAATCCACCCAGAGGTGCCTTTAAATAAAGGCCTAAAGATGCGCTTTTGAAAAAGAAGCCATTAAAACTCCATGGTGGAAAAAAAAAAAAAACAACAAAAAAACAGACACCCAAACCAAAACAAAACCTCAAACAAACAAACAAACAAAAAACCTCTATGGCACAAAGTTCTGAGCCACATAAGATCCTTATGAAATAGAATTGCTCATTTAACAACTGGTGTCTAGCATATAGCACTGAATGGATATTCGTGAAATGGAGAAAGGCAGGAAGTAGACAAACAGAAAGAAGTAAATACTAGTTAGAACATGCAATAAACTAGATAGATAATGCAGATCTAAGATGGTGAAGATACTTGAACCAGGAAGCAGTTGTCAGAACACAGCATGGAAACAAGGCATGATTCAAAATCAGGAAAGGTGTTCTACAGGGATACATCCTATCTCTATATCTTTTAAATCTATTTGCAAAGGAGATCATCCCGGAGGCTGGCCGTTATGAGTAAGAAAGATATGTTATCAGCATTGAAAGAAGACACATCAACAACCTGGTTGCCTCATGCAGATGACACGACCTTGCTTGCTGAAAAGAGGAAAACCTGAGGCGTATGCTGCAAAAGGTCAAGGACTGCAGTCTTCAATATAGATAGACTGAAGCTCAACATCAAAACAAAAATTCTTGTCACTGGGCCAAGGGGCAGCATCATATGATAGAGAAGAGATTTGAGATTGTTAAGTTTCAGCTTGTTTGGTTCCATAATAGTTAGGAAATCAAAAGATGAATTGAATTAGGAAAATCTGCTGTCAGGGACCTCTCTAGATTGCTAAAGAGCAACGATGTCAGTCTAGAGACTAAAGTGCGCCTAATCCAAACCATGGCCGCTCCAATTACTTGCTATGCATCAGAGAGCTGGACAATGACTAAGGATGACAATGACAGAAGAAGAATGGATGCCTTTAAGTTGTGGTGTGGGAGAAGAGTATAGAACATACCATGTACTGCCAAGAGAACAAACAGGTTTATCCTGGAGAGGCTAAAAAGCAAGCTGCTTCTTGGAGGCAAAGATTTTCAATCTCCACCTCACATACTTTGGGCATGTTGCCAGGAGGAGCCAGTCCTTGGAGAGGAAGACCCTGGATGAGATGGATTGATGCAGTAACTAGGTAAGGGTAGGTGTGTCAGAGACAGTGAGACTGGCTCAGGAAGGTCAGAGTTCAAAGCTACTGCACATAGGGTCGTGATGAGTCTCAGGCAACTCAACAGCACATAACAACAAGATAGTGAAGAAGTACAGTCAGTTGTGATAAAGACAGGGCAGATTCAAAAGAACATTAAAGAATCTTTCAGAATGTATATAATGAAGATCGAGATAGAGGAGTCTTATATGATGAGTGAATGAAGAAAATATATGTTGCAAGACAAGAGGGCTTTACTTCAAGGTCCCACAAATAAGTTGAGTGAAGCTGGAATCAAAACCTGTCTTACTCCAAAAACAGCTCCAAGCACTGAGGTCAAGGAAGTTTCTCTTACAAGGATACAGCAGGAACAGGAAGTAGGGCATTTAGAATTAAAGAGATTATTTCAGAGCAAAGTATGGATTATCCATAATTTTAAAATGAAAGTGAGACATTGTAGGACTATTCCTCAGTCTCCTTTTCAACATCATTGTCCTAGACCTATACCTTAAAGGTCCTTCTTTGAAATTATTTTCTTTTGGTTTTCCATTTGGTTTCAAGGTGAAGAACGATTTCCCAGCACAGTCTAAATTTAAACGTGTTAGATCTCATTCCTGTCTAAACTTAGTCTGGGTAAAACCCCTACTATCAGAAAATACCAATCAGAAAGTTTTAGACACCAAATTCCAAGCTCAAAATTCTTGTCAGTGTGTTAGGATATTTAAAGAAGTGTAGAGAAGTTAGATTTCTACATAACATGGAGAGATGTCTAAATTATACCGTTAAAACAGCTGGGTTCCATTTCTATAAATAACAATACCATCATCATTTAAAACACACCTCAAATACTATGCTCCCATTTATTAATAGTGGGTAATTTTGGGGTATACTGTGGTTATGGAGATCTTTTACCCTATAATTTCAAGTTTTTATGAACACGTAGTAATCAAGGGTAGAGAGAAGGGGTAGTAGCATTTCCCTTGGTTTCAAATGTTTTGCCTTTTCCGCTTGACTAAGTTCCTTAAGAGCGCATCTTATTCATTGTTGTATCATCTAAACACAGCAAAAGTTCTAATTCTACAACAAATGGATGAGTTAATCAATGACGAGGAGGGTTTGTAAAACAATGAAAGAATCTTTTCTTTTACTTTTCCATAATTTTTGGACTCATGTACTTATAACTTGTTAGTCAAATTTGTGTCTTCTAGGTTGCAACACCCCCATGATACATCTTCAAGGATATGAACATGTACAGCCAAGCACAATCAATAAGAGTGCATCTAAATTCCAAAATCAATCTCCATAATAGTCTATGTGTTTCCTACTGCCAGAGGGGCCCTTTAGAGTAGTGAGAGAAGATCTTCACCCTGAAACCCACAGCGTCCCTTTTCAGCAGGAAGTAGCTAAGAGAATACGCCATCCCCTTTTCCTTATGACTCAGGGTGAAGTCTCTCTCAGGGAGGAGTGATAGGGAATGGCAAAGGACACACTGACAAAGAAGATTAATCAGAACTGGCTTTGACAAGCGCTGTGGCATTTGGACAAGAACAAACTGGGAGGAGGGTAGAGAGAATAGTGCAACAATGAATGAATGGAAACCCAAAATCTCTGTAAATGTTTATGAAAATTAATAAAATATAATTATAGAAAACAAACAAACAAAAACACTAGCACTTTCTAATTAACGCAAAACAAAGACATAAGGCCATATAGGAACTTGGACGGAGATAAATTAATAGAACTTCTCTCTTTTCTTCGGTTTAAATTTACTATTTTTTTAAAGTGCTCCAAGGCAATGAGAATGAAAAGCAGTTTCTTCTGTAGGCCGCACTAATGCTAATTCACCCTTACGGTGGGAAAATGCGGCGTGGCGGGTGTTGGCGGTGAGATGGGAAAGCGCCCTCCGCCAGCAACGACCAGCAGTTAGGACCGTTACTCACCGTTTCTTGGGGCGCCAAGCAGAGACTGGCGAAGCACGAAACTGAAAAGCATCTAGGCTAGAGGAAAAGGCTCAAATGAAGGAAAATGTCTCTAGCAATGTCCTCAAATTGTGCAGAAGACGTAGCTTTTCCCCTAAGACTAGTTACTGCTTCCAACTCGCGCCACTGGACGCCCCAGCCACCAAACTCCGCGCCAAACTGACGTCACGCTCTCTGATTGGTTCCTATCGAGGCATCAGGGCTCCTTGCGGTCACTTCCTCCTTTGAAGCCCCGCCTTCTTTGCGCCAATCCGCGGGAACCTGGAGTTCAAGCGCTCCCTGAGCGCCTGCGCAGGGGGTCGGGGAGACGTTGGCGAACCGCTGGGTGGCGAGAACGCATGCGTAGCACGGGTTGCCAGTCAGCGGAGGGAAAATCCGCGAGAAGGCGGTGGGGAAAGATGGCGGGTGTGGGTCGGAGTTTTCAATCTTTGTGAATAGGCTGTTCGAGTAACTGTTTAGATCATGGCGTCAAACTCAACTAAATCTTTCTTAGCAGATGCTGGATATGGCGAACAGGAGCTGGATGCGAACTCTGCCCTGATGGAACTGGACAAAGGTATTGGAGAGTGTGTGCCGAGTGAAAAAAGATCTAAAGGGGAAGTGGCTCCACCTAGTGGCAGCCTTGGGAGAGGCGTGGAGCACGCGTGCGCATGGTCATCAGCGGGCGGGGAGGGGATGGACAGCGTCAGCTTTTGGTAAAGGAGTGCTTTGAGATGCAGAGGAAGCCTCCAAGATCGTCCTCTCAGTAGCTGAATTGTACCAGCAAAACGCTAGTCATGGAACACTTTGACCACTTGAGGGCACAGTCCCTTGATTTTCCACCTGTGAAAGCGAGTTGAAACTGTTAGGTGACCAGGTGCCATCAAGTCTAAACTGATAATTGACATTTCAGTGACTTTTCAGAGGCTGTAGATTGCACCTCTGTCTCTCGAGGCAGCTGGTGTATTCGAACAGTGATTTCTTTGAGTTCGCAGCACAGCTTCTCACCCACTGGGCCGCCGAGCTCCCCCATCAAAATGGATAGGTTCTAAAAATGCTCCGTTAAAACTGTAAAATTATGCATTTAAGTATGTTAAATCGAGACAGGGATAAGTTAGAAATGCTGAATAATCTGGGGCATACCTTATTTGATTTCCATAACTGCTACTTGGAAGAATTTCTGAAAAGTTCGGACCCTCATCCATACAGACAAGATTTTTAGGGGTAGGAGGGCAACTTAATGAAGAAGAAGGAGCTTTGGAATCAGACGAGTTGAATTTCATTTCTGCATGTTTTTTTCATCATGGATAAGTTACTTCACTTGGCTTCAGTCAGTCAGAGGCTTATGTGTGTTGTGTATAGTCAAATCGGAGCCGACCCATAGCTGACCCTCCAGCAGGTTTTCAGAGGTAGTTATTAGCAGGGGAGGAGATTGCCTATCCTTCGCCTGGGGAACAGGTAGATGGTGGAGTCAAACGACCTGCTTTTGGGATTGCAGCTCAACTTCTTGCCACTAGGCCATGTTTGCATGGAAAGTTGTGAAAGTATTATGACCTGGCAATATTAATATAAAATATTAAGAATTATGATAGATGGTGAAGAGATTGAGATTGTTAACAAATTTAGTTTGCTTGGCTCCACAGTCAACACTGTTGGTACCAGCAGCCAGAAAATCAGAAGACATTACATTGGGAAGTCTGCTGTCAAGGACCTCTCCAGAGTACTGAAGAGCAACAGTGTCAGTCTGGAAACGAAGGTGCACCTGATCCAGGCCATAGTCTTCGCAGTTACTTGCTATGCGTCAGAAAGCTGGACAATGACTAGGGATGATAGAAAATTGATCCTTTTGAGCTGTGGTGCTTGACAAGAGTATTGAATATACCATGGACTGCTAGGAGAAAAAACAGGCTCGTCCTGGAGAGGGTGAAGCTGGAAGGTTCCTTGGAGTCCAGGATTCTGAAGCTTTCATCTGACATACTTTGGACATGTTGCAAGAAGGAACCAGTCCTTGGAGAGGGACGTTATGCTTGGGAGGGTGGAGGGACAGTGCAAGAGAGGAGGACCCTCAGTGAAATGGATTGATTCAGTGACTGGAGTAATGACGGTAGGTGTGTCAGAGACAATAAGGTTGGCACAGGATAGAGCAGGTTTCAGGGCTATTGTACTTAGGGTCTCTACGAGTTGCAATCCGGTTCATAACAACAACAACAATAATAGAATGATAGAGGAAGCTCTAGGGGTCTAGTGATAGAGAGTTGTACTTCCAACCTGAAGGCAGTCCTGGCAAGCCTCCTAGCTGGTCAGCAGGAGAAAGATGGATAATCTCCTATGTGATTTACAGCTTCTGAAAGCCCACTGGAGGGTCAGCTATAAGATTTTTCTAACTGGATAGCACACACACACACACACAACCAGAATGGTATTTATGTATATCATGATCTGGAAAGAAAAAGTAGGTATTTGTCATTAGTTGAAAAAGTCAGAATTAATAAGAAATCTTGGTTCTCTTATGTAGGAGGGAAAAAACTTTATTTAGCAATGGCAATAGTTCTTTTGTTGTTTTAAAATGCTTTATTATTTTTAAAAATATTTTTTCTTTTGTACCGGTTTACTTACAAAATTCATAAAGTGCATATACCTTGGTTTTCACACTGGATCTTGATGGATTGCTAGCCAATATATGAGATACTGAGAATTGAACTAGAAGTCAGAAGGATCTATACGTACACTCTAGGCCACTTTTTAGCTCGCTGGCGTCCATATGTCTGTCAATTTCCTTAGGACTCCAGGTTTCTTCTAATTTTCCCCCCCATTTTATCAATTGGTAAACATTTTTAGGCTTTTAAAAAATCCTTTATCTTTTTATCAGTATAAAAATGTCTCTGCATCCCAATGGAACATTTCATTCCTTTGCATGACACTATTTCTAATGCATCTCCACCAGGCAAGATGATGTTGAGCTTTGTTCTTTCTGTTACTAATGCTAGAAGGCCTTTTCCTTCCTGAAATATGAAATATGCTTTGCTTTTTAAACATTACACAGTCATTTCTCTTCTCCTCTGCTACACTTCTTCCTCATTCCTCAGTGACAGTTTTAGATCTGTTATTGTCTGATATCCTACCAGGGAGCTCTGGAAAGATAAATGGATGGGTATTGAATGTGTTTAGTGGTTGTGCTGCCAACACAAAGGTATGTGGTTTGAATCCACCAGCCTGCTATGCAAGAGAAAGATGGGCATTCTTATCTTCTGTGATTTGCTGCCTCTGAAAACCCCCTGGAGGGTCATCTGTGAGTCGATTCCAACTCCTCAATGAACAACAACTATTGGCTGTAATAGTGGGCTCCATGATCAAATGATGAGGATGGTACAGGATAGGGCAATGATCAGATACTGTTCACAGGGTTATTCTTAGTCATAGCTGACTCGATGGCACTTAACAACATTAAGTATTGGGGGGTGTCATAGGGAGTTGCATTGCTAACCCAAAGCCCTTGACTTTGACATTTCTGTTTATCTGTTCAGTCATTTATCTATCTTGAAACACCTTCAGTATGAATTATCTAAATGGGGGGAAAATTAGCCATAGGGGCACAAGGCCATGAACATCGCGCTCCAAGGACCAGAGGAAATGAGACTAGCACAGCCTTCACTGCCCCAGAGCAGGAAGCAGATTGCCTATAGCTCAGCTCCATGCAACTTGTAGAGCCTCACCAGAGGTCTGTTTGTTCGTTGTTGACTCACAGACTCACGGTTATGGTACCAGCATGGGGTTTCTTAGGGCAGGAAGTTGGAGAGTGGGGGAGGCAAAGAATATTACCCAAAACAAGTTCAGGCTTTAGCCTAGCAATGCCAAAGCACAATTCCTCAATAGATCCAAGTTCATGTTTCAGTGCAGCAGTCAAATCTAAATCATCCAGCGAGATTTGCCTGAGTGGTTGTTACCAAATTGCCCAGCAAGATTTGCCTCACTCTTAAAAAATCTGCTAGGGGAGAGGTACTTTCCCCACCCAGATGCCTTACCTGCACATGGCAACCTGTCCTAGTCCTGGAGGAGACCTGGGCACCTTCCAGCAAGCCAGTAGGCGGGCTGTTGGACACTCCCCGATAACCTTTATAAGTCACCTGCTTTCCAGCAAGAACAGCCAAACCTTTAACTGTGGCCAGCACAAATGGAAGAAGCCTCAGATCACAGATTGTCACCATTTCTTCACTGCAGTGCCACAGCCTCTCCACCACCAGGGTCTTTATACCTCTGGTCTTTCTCACCTCAAGTCTTGCTGCCGAGTGTGAGAAGCCCTCTTTGGCTATCCTAGTCCCACAGCTGATGCTGATTTACAAGACCATACATCTACAGTTAAGGTAGCTAGAGACCAGGGGGGCTAACTAATGGCTAGAAAAAGCCAACCTTTAGGCTAACACCACAGGATTATATCCCAGCATCAAGAAAACAGAAATCCTCACTATTGGACCAAGAGTGGAGCAGTGATGTCAGTTAAAGGACTAAGGTACGCCTGATTCAGGCCATGGTCTTTTCAATCACTTACTTTGCGTCTGAAAGCTGAACATTGAATAAGGATAACAGAAGAAAAATGTATGCCTTTCAACTGTGGTATTGGAGAAGAGTACTGAATATCTCATGGACTGCCAAAAGAACAAATATATGTCTTGGAGAAGGTGTGGCCAGAGTGCTCCTTAGAGGCAAACATGATAAAGTTTCGTCTCATGTACTTTGAGCATGTTACTAGGAGAGGATTTTCCTCGGAGAAGGCCATCATTCTTGGAAAGGTAGAGGGACAGCCAAGGGGAGGAAGACCCTCAGCTAGATAAACTGACACAGTGACTACATCAGTGGGCTCAAATGTGTCAAGATGTGAGGATGGCACAGGGTAGGACAGGGTTCAGATCTCTTGTTCATTGGGTTGCTATGAGTCATACTCTCCTCAATGGCATCTAACAATGGCAACATTGGACCATTAGGCAACCTCCTGGTAGAGGAGTGATTGAAGTTGTCAGTTTCATTTTACCTGGATCT